CATAACCTGAGTGTTTTTTTTTTTTTTTTACCTTTTTTATCCTCTCTTCACTGTAACCCAACCAGCCAGCAGAGGTGGTATATGCAGGGTATCCCTTTGATAACAACTCCTTCTCTGTAATATATAATACCATTTTATCCAAAACAATTACCAAGCCACTGCTTTTTTTTTTTAAATTTTAATACATATAATACAGTAGTCAAGTAAGAGGAGCTGAAAATCTTCATATGTAGGTAACCTTTAAAATAGCACTCCTTTTTTTTGCCTTTTTGGAATTCACTTTTAGTTAAAACAAAGTTACCTTACCTCTTTCTGCTTTGGTAGACTGATTTTTCTTCAGTATTGCTAAACCAAAGAAAAAACATTCAAAATCAATAAAAATAACAAAAATATTTCAGAGTATTTTACTTATTTTTATAATTTAAAATATGAAGCCTTCAAGTTTGCCTTACCTCATGCAATGTGATGCCCTTAACAAACACATAACATTACAAATGTTATCCATGGGGTGTTTTAAATGTAAATATCTCTGATTGTTGTCATCTTCTCTAACACATCTCAGGGAACACCACTCACCTAATGCTTCCTCTGGTGTGAGAGCATCTGACCTAATCATTAATAACAAAAGAAAATAATTTGTATTACAATATTAGCATATAAACACATCAAGATAACATTCTGATAGAAGTAAACCTGTGTCCTGTAGTATTGTCATTCATGTTGAACATTTTAAACTTTTCAATTTCTACACAAACATTTGAAAGCATAACATGCATGGTGAAAGCTTTTATCCCAACAAAATTAAAACCATTCAACATAAATTCAATGTAACATTCTTCAAGTCATCATTCGTAGGCACTGTATCTTGATCTTTTCACAAAGGAATATCCATCACTCATCAACATGGACACTAATTTTTTTAAAAACACCTGTTAACACTCCAATGAAAGGGACCATTCAGATTGAGAAGAGCCAAGTGCTAGTAAGGCCGCAACCTAAATATGGGGGACCTACATGAAAGGAAGACCGCTAATCCTGGAATGGTCTCTCCGCTTCTCACACGCCTCCCCACGCGTCGTCCCTGCAGGGGCACCGTAATTAATCTTGGCTCAATTCAACCGGTCAAGGGACAACGTGTGGGGAGGCGTGTGAGAGGCGGGGAGACCATTACAGGATTGGCGGTCTTCCTTTCATGTAGGTCCGCCATATTTAAGTCGCGGCCTTACTAGCATTCGGCTTTTCTCAATCTGAATGGTCACAAATAAGTGGATACTTACAGATATCTGAAGTCCATTGTGGACACTAACTTTTCTGGTTCCTGAAACCAATACATGTCCATCAACTATTTATGTGGCAGAATAAAATGTAACGATTGATGTCAAGGTACAAGTATGTTATTAATATATATATCATTACTAAACAGTTTTTACAAATATTCAGGAGTAAAATATATTTTACACAGACAAGTATATTTCTAATTATGCTAAGAATATGCCATCCAGAAACATTAACCTTATGTGTTTATAAGAAATGAAACCATTTATCAGTATCTACTAATATCTAACAAGTATTTAAAATAACCATTGCTCATAAAATAACTTACCATATCAACTAAAAGTTTCCACAATGGCTGTAAGAAAATAAATTTCAAATTTTAAATAAGTGAAAATGCAATGGACTTATGAATTTGAAATATACCTATGTGGTCATTATTGAAACCTAAAATGTACCCCGAAGACAATGATAATAAGATTTTTTTTTCTATTCTGAAAAACTTGCAATGATTTTCGAACTTAGATTGCCTAGTGTAATATTCTTAAACAGGTTTCATATATATATACCTTTCCCTCCATCTTGGCCCACATATCCCATAATGCATTAACAATCCCTGCCGTCGCCAGATGAACCACACCCTTCTCTGGGCCAAGCTAAAAGCAAACAGACACTGGCACTTGAGTGTTTATATCAATAATTGGAATCATTCAGTATCTATTGGTATGTTGTTAATGACCAAAGAAATTTTAATCATTAAAATGATTTAGTTATTTTTCCAACAATGAGAGAGCTGCTACACTCAATCGCAGCAAACAGACACCAGATATAACCAGCCAAGTCAAGTTTAGATTAATGCTACCAGTATATCTTTGTATTGTTTTTGGTCTGAATTATGCATTCTGTACTAACCTGGTTATAATATGGCCTATGTACGTATTAGTATCTAATATGAAAAATTTAGACCATGGAATTACATCGAAACTTACCCATCGGAATTGTGTGTCATTCACCAGCTTCTCCCAAAAGACACCAAAATTGTCAAATATGTCTGACACCTTCTTCCCAACTACCATTCTGCCCATATATTTTATGGAATTACACACTGCAAAACATCCAATAGTCAACTTTTATTTCAATTTGGGAGCAATCATTAATGCATTTTGTAAGGTTTTGAAAATTAAAAAAAAAAAATCTTTTTTGTCACCTTTATTCAAAAAATGTCTCAATGTTTTTTGACAAAATGACTCAAAAAAGTATTTTCTTAACCTTCTAACATACAGCGTTCATTAAGCAGCTGACATACCAAGGTCAGTTCCCCTGCCTGCAGTAAAGGTTAACCCATGCCCCTTTAACTGAGTGTCTGTGCAGATAACAACATAGGCACATGAGTAGTCGGGATCACCATGCTAGAACACAGTAATTCAAAACCCAGTCAGATACACAACAATGTGCCGTGTCCTCTTCTGACACTGACCCTTAGTAACCTGCTGTAGTTTAGGGACCATTCCCAGACCCTATTGTACTAAATGTGGATCGATCTATTTCAAGGGGATTCTTGCTAAATTGCAATCAACTTAAGCTGCTTAGATGTCTGCCACACCTACTGAAGCTGTTAGGGTGTAATTGACACTATCATTTAGCAGCTTCAATAGGCGTGCCAGACATCTAAGCTGTTTAAGCTGAAAGCAATTTAGCGAGAAACCCCTTAGAGATGGCCAGAGCGATCCTGTTAGATTGACCTCGGTATGGGAACCCAGTCTTATTCTGTAGTCAGGTACTGACAGCAAGTTACTCATATTGGGCTGACACAGCAGGAAAAATGTCCTGTATCAGTGTGACATACCCAAGTCATTGCCTCTCCCAAGAGAAAATGTCAATCCATGCCCTTCAAGTTTGGAGTCTGTTTTGAATATAACATAGGCACATGAGTAGTCTGGGTCTGCATGCTATAATATGGTAAATAAATAAATAAATAAATAAATTAATTAATTAATTAACAGATGGATAAAAAACGAAATAAAAATAACAACAACATTTAGATCTTAATTATATAATTTGGTCAAATGTTTCTATATATAACTTCATTTATTTTATTGCATCTGGTACATAAAAGTTTGGACTCAATTGCTTAATTTATAACCACATCTTAGAGCCATCAAACATCTTTCAAACTGTGGCATTCGTTGCAAAAAATCATTCCAACACTGCAAAGTTGAGATACCGGTACAACACAGTGGTTTGATAAGCCCATGGTTATGTAGATGTTCTAAGTAGTACGTACCGGTATCTAGATTTCATAATGCATTGTTTTTGGTTGTTTAAAACAACTTATTTGTCTGAGCTAGGTTTTACGATATTCCTTCCTTGCAATTGGCTTGTCTGTGTGTGTGTGTGTGTGTGTGTCGTGTGTGATTGTGTGTGTGTGTGTGTGAGAGAGAGAGAGAGAGAGAGAGCGAGAGAGAGAGAGAGTTTACCATGGCATCCGAACCATGCGCCTCCAATGAAGTTGGAAAGCGAACATCCTTCACGGTCAGCTCTGTTATTATGGCCATGCTGCTTCGCTCACTTGTGGCTGCCTAGATAACAAGGATTATTAAGAACACGCCCCCTCACAACACACTACGGTTGACCCCGTTCCTTCGCTCACACTTTATACGCCCCTGTTGAAAATATTTTTACTCTAAACTACTCTAATGTTTTGATGTAACAGTTCAAATCACAATCCAGACATTGTTTTATATGTAGAACACACGTTTGTATAGTCATTGTTGCAAAACTTATAAGTAGCCTCAGTTTCGTTCTGTCTCATTCACTGTCACAAACAC